TGTTCGTGTTATTAAAATAGTCCATGTGTAAAGTATAATTCGTGTTGCATGTTGTATAACTGATGTGTGCTCTGCAAATGCATTGGATAAATTTAAAAAATTTAAATTTAATGTGTGATACAGATTAGAAGTTAGTATTTAGATCTTAGATGTGGCACAAATTACATATTGTTTTGTACATTTTGGAACAGATTACATTATCACTTATATGCACTAGGTCTATTATTGGAGCAAATTACAAGTAAGTACCAAACTATTAAAATTGGCGCGAAATCGATGAATTTTGTTCATGTTTACCTGCGACTTTTATACTTGAACTAATTTATATGTTAGGTACCTATCGAATCGGGCGTATATCGATTCCGCCGATTTTATATCAATTCCGCCGGCTATTAATTCCGCCGGCTACTGTTTAAAATATCTACACATCGATTCCGCCGGCTATTAATTCCGCCGGATAATAATTGTATAAAATGATAATAATTGCATAATTCAAAACTAAAAGTCCATTTGAAAATGATTTTTTTAAAATACTTGCAGTTTCTTCGCTATGGTTGACATTATGAATACTTTCATCTTTCAGTATTTTATTCGTTGCTTGATTCACATAAATTTTTGCAGTACACTTTTTTTTTACACATTGCCATTTAAAAGCATCTAAATACTTGACATAGTCTTTTCAGTCAGAATCATAATTGACATTTTATATGTAGCGTAATACGTTATAGCAATATGTACACTAATACAATTTACTATTTAGACTAGGTAGGTATACGTTTTAAAAAATATTTACATACACGTATAATAATTATAGACTATACATTTTTGTTTTGAATTCTTATACAATTATTATAATTTTATACATTTTATTAATAATAATTAATTAATAATAATGTTTAATAATATAGCATAATATTATTATGTAGGACTGTATATTTTAAAATACATATTTTATAAGGGAGGGATAAGCAGTAGCAGGCGGAATCGATATGTAGATATTTTAAACAGTAGCCGGCGGAATTAATAGCCGGCGGAATCGATATAAACCTTTTTTCTAAACAGGTAGTTTCGGCGGAATCAATAATTCCCCTATCGAATCTACTAATTTTATCAACCAATAACCAGTCATCAGTAATATTTAACAAGTAAAAGAACATTTACTTATTATTTCATAAAAAAATTATTTGTGGGTACAGACATTTAAACTAATACAGTAATACCTAATTCCTTGAAATCCAAAATTGATTGTGTGTAATGTATTGTTTCGGTGGTATTATTCAACTTACATTTTTAGGTTAAATGTTTTTATTTTTGATATTATTTTGAATCAGATATGCAATCGCGTTAAGGATTGGGTCTAAAAAGGTGTTTCCCTTTAAAGGTGGCAATTATTTTCCCATTTCCTATATTCATGTTTATTTGTGTTGTACGGAAACGATTTACCATTAAGGATTTTTCGGTGTTGAATAAAATATAAACATAAAAATATACCAGCGACAGCTCTTTAGGATGTAGAAATAATAGACATTTTCACACAATGAAATTATATAATATATAATAATATAATAGTTTATTAATATTATTATTGTGGATGTTATACCTATGTACACTTACGTGTATGTGTTATTTATACGACGTTTACCATCCTGGCTCTTTTGCAGCAAGTCTGTTTAATATAATTAATATTGATAATTTATAGTCGTTAAATTCATCAGTGATGATAATGTTGTCATTAATATGCAACGACTCTTAGTGTCAAAGCTCTGTCTATATTGCTCCCTCTTATTCTCTCCCTTTATTCCACTCCCTATCTTAGTTATTCCATATTCGTGCGTTTATAGCTCAGTAGCCAGTAGGTAGGTAAGTAGGTTGTAGGTACTAGGTAGGTATACAATATAATTTCTATAGGAAATACTCTTCTATATGAAGAGTCTATATTAATCAATATTTGTATTATGTCGTTGACGTTTTGATTGAACTTTATTTTGAACATTTCAATAATATAATATATAACAGAAAACAATTTAAATTGCATACTTACAAATGTTCGAAATGTAATTACGTTCCTACATAACATTGCCACATTGGTTATTGATTATTATAGATACTCACTGTGAGTCTATGTGTGAAATAATTTAAGAACAAAACCTATTCGTTGGGTTACCTACCTATTCTATTACTATTTATTATTATATAGGTATAATTAAATGTAGGTAAACCCTTATTAGTTATTACACTATAGTTTAATACTAATACCTACCTATATGTTGTTTATACCATAACCAACACTAAATTTTAATTCAGTCTTTATTATATCTACTTACAATAAATTTAAACAGAATAATGTTCGTGTAAAACTCAATTAGGTAATAATAAAGGTACGCGTGTCAGAAATAGAGATTTAACTTTAAGTTAGTGGTGACTGGAGGGTGGGGGATTCCACCAATCATCATACATTTGGAATATGTCGTTCCACTAAGTGATTTTTATAATGTAAATCGACCAAACTTTTGAGAGCTAAACCAAAATTTAAGTACCTAGTTCAGCAAGCATTTAAACCTTTTTTTTTTGATTTAATTTTTTATTTTTAGAACTTCCAGTATATTATACTATTATAGTTCGACAATTATTACAATATATATATAATATAGATAAGATTTAGTAGGTTTACAATAGATAATAACTTAATTATAACATAATTTAGATAATTAGGTAATTATATTGACGATAACACTATATGGAATTACAAATGACCTTTATTTAATAAAGCCGTTAGGAGAGACAGGAGGGGTTTTATGATTGCAGTGAATTCGGTAATAAAAAATGTAAATAAAGTTTCTATATTAGGAGATAAGTGGGAATGGTTATAATTATAGGAAGTAGTTTCGGAATTATGATGGTTTACCGTTATTGGAATTTAAGGCGGATTTAGGGAAGTTTGTATGAGATTTAGGAGTATATATGAAATGTTCAGGAGTATTTACGCCTTATATAGTATATTTGTATAAGTTGTTTGTTATAAAGTATAAATTATTGCAAATAAAATGTTGTTAAATATTTTGAACAGTATTTAAATAGGTACCTACTCGGCTACTCAGTGAAAAAAGTAATTGGGTAGGTACAAAATACAGATTATTTTAACTATAGACACAGGTATAGGTTTAGTATGTATAATATTGTATATATATATATATTTAATTTTTTTGGTTTCTCCTTCAAATTGTTCATGCATACAATTTATTTTACCTACTTTATAAATCAATTGCACCAAATTTCTTTTAGAATTTTTATGTTTCACATTAATTTCATAGATAATTTTACTCCATTTTTTTATTTTATTTTACGTGATTGAATTGAAAATATAAAATATATTAACTAAAAACAAAAAGCATTTCATTGTTTAAAATAATAAATAAGCAGATACCTACTTTGAGAGAAGTACCTATTTAAAATGCCTAATTTTTCAAAATTATTTAATTAAAAAATATTTGGGCAGGTACATAGTACATCCAACATTGTACATGAACATAACAAAAAGTATTGGGATCCTTTTAACTTTTACTCAAGTACTATAAAAAAATAGGTAGGTAGAGTCTAGATAAATCTAGGTTATTACTAAAATCTCCCCCCCCCCTCCCCCCGAAATTAATTTTTAGTTACGGCGTTGCAGCTTAGTACTTAACAAGACTGGCAATGGAGAAATTCTGTGCCCAAAGGGTGGTGACTTGTACGCGACTATATTTCGCCGTCTATTGAGGATGCACTGTCGCTGCCCATGATTGGAACAAATTATTATCGGAAATACTCACTGAGGTAGTGATAAACATGATAAAGAATTCAATAATAATATTATTTTCAATTACCAAAATTACGTTTTTATTGTGGTGTTCAAGTGATTTTAATAGACTATTATACAACTCAATCATTGTATAGGCGTGGTTGTACAATTAATGCTCGTTGAACGACGGTAGTCTATAATAGTTGAACGTGTATTCGGAAGAAATGTACTTATAGCGATCGTACAAAGTAAACTGAGCCAGTGTGATGGCAGAGTGTCCGATAGCCCAGATCAACGAAGACGACGAGGACACCCAAGATCGAGTCAGAATTGAACTGCAAGGGTACCTGAATAAGTGGACCAACTTCTTACACGGCTGGCAAAAGCGCTATTTTGTTCTGAAGAACGGAACGTTATTGTACTTCAAATCACAATCGGAAACCGAGTGCGGATGCCGTGGTGCAATAAGTCTACTAAAAGCAACTGTCAAGGCATGATAACTGATATTGAATAGTGTTTAGTTTTTAGTTTTTATAATTTCTGTAATTATATAGTAGTTTAATTTTATAGGTGCACGAAGTAGATGATTGTCGTTTTGATGTGTCACTAAACGATTGTGCTTGGTATTTGCGAGCTGACTCATCATCAACTAAAAATCATTGGATAGATGTCATAGATTCGCTTAAAGCTGAATCTGGGTACGGCAGTGAAAATAATCTGAAGCGCAATGGCAGTTCACTTTCTATATTATCCAGTAATATGTCAACCATGTCACCGGTGTTTAAGAAGAATAAAGGCTTACAAGATAAACTCAATGAACTTGTGGCATTTAGGGGTATTTTAATCAACCAGATTGACCGACTTCAGATGTATTTCGATACATGTTTATCAGAATTTGCCTCTTCAAACGGTAAATATTCTATTTACAATTTTTCCATACAAAATGTAAATACCTATATATTACCTATTCAAAACAATTTTAGATTAAGAATCAAAACAATTTTTCTTATAATATCTGTTGTTATGTTATTAAATAAGATAGATAATTAACGTGCCTACCTAAACAATATTTAAACTAATTAGTCAGGTTAGGCCTCATTATAACTTAAAATGTTGTTTTACATTGAAATGAATCAAGTTTGATAAATATAAAGTAATAACCTATTGTTTTTTTAAATAATTATTTATTAAATGACAATTTAAGTTCAAGTATGATAAAATTATGATTTTTTTAACAAGTTTTATACCTACATTTTTCTTTGAAATTGAATGTCACTGAATAAAAAAAGTATACGGCAAAATGGTTATCACGTATTAATATAATGGATAAAAGGTATTTGTTTCAAGAAATAGTTCCTGATTATAGTAAATTAAATAGCTGGTACATTATTATGAAGTTTATCGAATTATTTATTTTTATTACCCAAAACAAATGTGTATACTCTAGCCACCGAGAGAATGCTACTCCTTGGCGCATCCAAATACCCGAGTTTTGCGGTTTTGTGCCCCAATTTCTCCAACTCTACTATCTACTCACTGCTGTAAAATCCTCCACTCACACCGGCAATGGTGGCGGTCAGAGTTCAAATTTAGTGGTGAGAATGCAAGAGAACGGAAAAATGTTGGTCACTGCGAGTAGCGCTCTCTGGGTAGTTGGAGTATACCAAAATGTGCGTTTCTTATATTGTTGTTATGCTAACTATTTACTACTAGACTATTTATAAAATATTTCTTAATTTTGTAGATTTTGTATAATGCTGAGATTTGGATTGCCAAATCCACCCGCTATTAAATAGTCAAACGAATTAGAAGTTGGTGACTGCAGACTGTGAGGTATTTTACAGCAGTACCTCACATTTATTTGGCGTACAATTCCTATACTTGTAGGAATCCGGTTTTTATATGTGAACTTAACCTAAATTACACCGTTTCAATTGGTCGAGGTTACCAACCGCCAGTTCGTTTGATGTAGCTCAAGTTAGTGTACCCGTTTTAACAATGGTAGTTCAAAAGCGGTATATTTATATCATATGAATTACAAAATAATTTAATAGATGTGTGGGTGTCATATGTCTATCACCTGTATGCCTGACGCTTGATATGTGTAGTGAAAATTCACAAGTTGGCCACAGAAGAAGTTTTCTTAACTTAAATGAAGTATAATAAAAATTATTAACAATATTTTAATTATATTAATATATGAAGTTAATAAATTATCATTATATTTGAAATTAGATTTAAAATGAACTAAAAGCATTAAAGTATCATGAATACCTCTTGGCTTGCCAAAAATTATCTTAATAATATTATATGACTTGGTATTAAGAGGACACCTCACCCGCATGTGTTGTTTCCGTCTTACAAACGTTTAACATATCAAATTTACGCTCAGCAGTTCACACGTTTTATACCGTTAGCTTAAAAATTAGAGTTAATCGACCTATTATAAAACTTGGTGGTAAGAACTTTATCTGTGTTTTGTTGGACGTTTTTTTCCAATAATTAAGTTTTTAATAGAGTTATGAGCATTTTTAGTTTACATTTATTATGCAAGCATATCTCTCTTAAAAACTGAATTATCTTAAAAAAACTTCCATCCAAAACACAGATAAAGTTCTTACCATCAAGTTTCAAAAAAGGTCGATTCACTCTAATTTTTAAGCTAATGGCATACAACTTGAACTGCTGAGCATGAATTTGGTATGTTATGCGTTTTTAAGACAGAGACAACACATACGGGTGTGGCGTCCTCTTAATACAAGTTGGCAAAATATTCTTCAAATTTGAAATGAAGTGGGAACCTTTTTTTTTGTGTGGATGGTATAACTAATGCTAAGAACTTATGCTTATGACATTGTATTGTCAGTGACTAATATGTATTAATGATCGTATTATATATTTGAAGTTAACGTTGAACAGATAAGCCGTGATGTTTATCACCCCTTGAACTAAACCATGGGTTTTTTAAAAGACACATAGTTGAACTTAAGTACCTTATAAGTTATGGTATTGATTAAAATTGACATATTATATAAAAAATATTAAAGTGATTGCTGCTTATTTTAACAAAATTAAATTATATTTTCATAGTATTAATCCAAATTATGTAGAGATTTTATGCACAATAAAAGAATCTATAAAACCTATTTTGATAATATAAAAAACATGATGTAACATTTTTAGAAATTATAAAATCTTACTTACTTCAGAAATTTGAAATTAGTTATAGGTATCATATTATGTTCAATGTAATCAAAAAATTATATGTCTACTTGATAAGCAGTTAAATTACAAAAATCTCAATTCCTTTTCTAATAGATTCCTTTGATTCTTTATTTCTATAGTTTGATTTGTGTTGCATAAGTCTTCTCCATTCAAATTTTTAGAAATAGAATCAATTTTAAAAACAAAAAATAGAGTAATTATTAACATTTTATTAAGTTTATAAGTATTTTGAATTCTAGAATATAATAATAAAGTAAGTATGTAAAATAATTTGTTATTGTGTTCACCCATCAACACCTATGTACAGTTGACTAATGTGTGGGTATAGTACATTCTAGAATGAGTATATAATTAGTATTCCACCTGCCTGCAGCCTATTCTACGTTTAGTGAAACAATTGTGTCACTTGTAGCGCACAAACATGTGTGCTAAAACTAAAGTTGTAACTAAGTCCCCCACACCAGCACCAACTGCTTTAAAATTTGTTTCCCCACTAGTAAGAGTATATTACAGGAACTGTAATAATATTATCATTATTATGTTGTGTATTAAAATATATTAGTTTAAAAAAAATTTCCACCAGAGTTATATATTAACTTTATTTAACAATCATTATTAATTTAATTACTTATCAGATGTCTAATTTATCAGAACTCTAATGTCTGAATCATTGGTGATTAAAAATGTGTACAAATCACCTACCTATTTAATTAATAGGGTTAGGAGTATAAAGTATTAAACATTTAAATAAAATTTTACTAAATAATGAACACCAACTTTATTTTTGTAGTTGAAATTACTAATATGAATTCAAATTAAATCACCAATGTAAATTTATATAATTTTTTTCAATGCACTATGCTTTGTAAATTTAAAGTTATTCATACTCAAATATTTATACATATACATTTGTCAAATCTTATCATATAAATGAATAGTGTTATTACATATTTTTTATCCTGCCATTGAACATAAAATATTAACATAGGTAATACTTGTTTGTATTTTAGTATTTTTTGATGATAGTTAATAATAATTGAAGAGTGTAAATAATAAATTGTATGTATAACAAATAAATCAATTATCCTTAAGAAAATAAATTTGTACATACCTTATATCTATTGTTTTAATTTCTATAATGTAGTTTCATTTTTTTTTTTTTATTAATAGGTAATGTATGGTGATACAAATTATTTTTAATAGGTATGTAATAAGACATGAACATCACATTTCTGATATAATTTTAATGTAGTGTTTAAAAGCTGCATACCAAATTAAAATATTTTGAATACGATAGTTATTTATTGAAAATTGTTCATATACACAGAGGTGTTTGTAAAATATGATGTAACAAGAAATGTTTAATAATTTAAAAAAAAAAATACATAGTTAAAATATAAATACAACGTACAAAATTTTACCTATGTATCTTAAAAGTAAAATATACTACATTAAATGTACTAAGTGTATGCCTATTAATTTACTATGTATATTGTGTACACATATATAATTAACATGATCAAATGAGGTAATCAAAGAGTAGACTTTGGATACCTATCATTAATTATGACAGCCACTATATTTATATGATATTATGCCAAATAAATTATACTAGTAGAAACCTAACGGATGTTTACAATTAAAAAGTAAATAATTATTTCTTAATATATTTAAAATTTTTAATTTTATTCAGTTAATATTACCAACCATAGCATTGATTATAAAATATAATACTTCGTATATTTGATTTATAATTCACTGTAATCGTTTAAGTAAATTCTCTAATTTTAATATTATGTTTATTTAATACTTTATGCTGAGGGTAATTGTTATAATTATGTATATAATAGTATATAATAATATATACTATTTGAGTTTAAAAGTTAAAAAATGCTTTTGATTAGTTTTAAATTAAAACAGTGATAACTTCCACTTCTTCAAAAAATGGTTATACTTATAAATTGTTATTTCTTAAGCTTAGACAATCTATTAAGGAAATTGTTAAATAACCTTAATGGTGTAAAGTACTGTTCATGCTCTGATTTTTTATATTTTAATGTGTTACAGTATATTATCATCTATTCAAAAAATAGTTCATAGCATAAAACATAATTTTAAAAACAAAATAATGCTTGGTTTAGAATCTAAAATAAGCGTTTCTTAAATTATTATGTAATAAATAATCACTTAATATTGTAGAGCCTAATAAAAAGGTTATTATGATATTATTTTGCATAAAATTAAACATTCAGTAGAATTATTAACTGATGTAGGTATTGCATTGTCGTCATTGATCAGAAGTACTTATAAGTTATATTATTGATACCGTATAATATTTTTGTGTACAGTTAATGGTATTTAATTTCATGTTATATACTATTAAATACTTTTCAATAGTTAATACCTAGTCAAACAATTATCCATTATCAAACAACATATTTCAGTTACATTTTTATTTGTGACCTTTTAAGTTGGAGGTGTTGAGCTCAATACAACAATAGACAATAGTATTTGTCATGTAGATAAATTGTGTTGTGTATAATGTTAGATATGTAAATATGGTTTATTTACATACCTACCCATTTTTTTTTTAAATGTTATTTAGTAACATAAATTAATTTAAATACAACTGTATTGTTGCACTGAAGATAAATAAAAACATTGCTCATTATTTTCATTTTAAATAAGTATGTATGATTGTTGATTTTTTTAAAAATATTTTATTTTAAGAGTCCTACTGCAACTGAAAGAAATCTGGTTATTCAGTTACTGAAAACGTGTGTAATGAAATATGAATAGATTAGATAGGTTAAGCCTTAGTTGTGTAGGTAAAAACTGTCGTTAGTATTGCTCTTAAGAGGCCGTTCTGGTGACATAATTCTTAATAATATTAACTGGTATTTAATATGTCATTTAGTTTATTAGAAGTTCTTTCTTAAACATCTTTTTATTCATTATTATTGCTCACAGATTCAGGTAAAATAATAAATTGTTCTCACCATTACTATGGTTTTAGAAACATGACAATCTAAATATTCAAATGTTACCTAACTTTTCAATATTTAGTTGGGTTTTATATTACATTAAATTTAACGACCTATTTATTTATTAATTAAATGATGGTTTGCCTTATTAAAATTAAAATTTTCTGTTTTGTATGATACAAATTGTTATCACGTAGTCGGAAAATAAATTATTTGTATTATACATTTATTATAACATATTCATGCAAAATATTTTATAAAAGCCTACGATAATAAAATTATTCATTGAAAAATAATGATTTTTTCTTTTGTCTCATAAATAATAATTCTTTAATAGATTATTAGGTTTTGTTAAATTGCCGACTTCTTGGCCAAATATCAAATGTGCCAACTGACCAAATCGTGGAGAGGTGTCTCTCCCCCCGCTAGGGATGGCCCTGTTTGTATTGTAGCATTTTAAAGTATATTGTGGTTTTATTCTTATGAATGTGTATTTAATTTTCAATAAATAACTGAGCAACTAGCAGACAATATTGTCTATAAATAATATATTCATGTTTAACCTTTTAACTAATTATTACCACACACATTCTGTTGGCCATGGTGTTTTAAACACGTTATCAATAGTTTAAGTATGGTTTACAATTCATTTTTAAAGAATATATTGCATTTAATTTTAAATGTCTAATCTCTTGCTTAACTTCATGCATTCAGTTTTAGTATACAAATAGTAAATAATAATTTGTTTTTAAAATTCTGTTTATCCTTATTATTATATATTATTTAATGTATATATATAATATCTACATTTTACATTAAATAATTGTAATTTGTCACCTGTAGAAAAACTGATTAAATTATTGTTACGTGAATATAAACAACTGTAATAGGTATTATGTGTTCTTATATTTATGATTATTAAAAATGGTTAAAAATTTAAAAAAACTTCACAATATAGGTCAATGCGTATTATTACAATTAATGAGTTATTGTTATGAAACAAATACTTCTAATTAAATTATATAAATTAGTAAAAATAACTACAATTGTTAAGAGGTTTTACTTTAATTTATAGAATATAAATAGTAAGTTTTTAGGTATTAATTTCAGAGTCAGCTTGCATTCAAACAAAATGTTTACCAAAAATAATTTTAATATTTTCTTAAAATAAACAAATGTTTAGGTGATTGGTAAAACTAATTGATGACTTTGTTTTATTGTACCTACTATAAATTATTTTATAACACGTTTCTACTCATAAACCAATTCAAACCATTTTGTTTAGGCATGTGCATTAAGATTTGGTACCTACTTATTTATTCTATTTGTTGAACTTAAAACCTTAGCAAGTAACAATATTTATTAGTTTGGTAATGCACTTATTTATATGTACATGTGTATCAAGTATCAACTGTCTATATTAATTTAAATGGTTTTTTTTATGTTACCAATACTTTTTATCAATAGTGTTTAGTCTATTTTGTTTTTTTCTAGAAGGTGTATCAAAAAACGAATCCTATCAAAAGTATACATGTGAAGCTTTAGATTTCAAAGGTGAAGCGGTAGCATTTAAAGCCACGTCATCTGGAATCTTAGAAATTTTAAAACATTGTATTGAAGTATGTAATATACAGAAAATTGCATTTACTTATTATTTAAATATCTATATTTTTCCAGGTTATGAATCAAAGAGAGACAGCTTGGGAGTCTATGCTGGAAAAAGAAATAAACAACCGGAAAGATTTAGAAGAAGTAGTACGGACATTATCTCTAGTTGATGGGCTCACAGATCAAGAAAGAGCCCAGGTACTTGCTGGAGCTGATTTAACGGTATGTATAATTATTAATCAACTATCTGTTTAGGTTTTTCAACTATTTCAATATAAATCATCCAATTTCATTATCAGTAAAAATTCCCAAACAATATACCTATCATAGTTAATAGGCATTAGTAAATTAATTCAATATCATAATAAATATTAATATTACAAGTACTTAGAAAAATGATTTAAAAATGTATCTATAACAACTAATGTTTACAAAATAAATGTATTGTTAAATGTTCATAATGAACTTATGTTTTAACGAGGTCATATTTACTGAACTGGTCATAGTCCAAATATTGTATTATCAATATGTATATGATAAAAGTAGATATGAAATTGTATTAAGATAAACAATTTTGAATTGGTACTTCTACATTTTAGTCAATTATTAGTTATTACTTTTAATCAGTACCTTACATTGACTTAGCATTAAATGTTATAGACTAAATTCAATCATTTAATTTTTTTAAGTTGCCAGTTTTTGTGCTAAGTTTATTATGAGTTCCATTGTTAAAAAGGTAAAATTTTATAATATTATGATTTAATATTGAAATGAATTTTCACTAACAACAAATGAATCATTTTTTCTTGTTATAAAAAGTATCCTCAGACAAAAAATAATATATCATGTACAACCAATACATTCAGAATCTAAAATATTGATAGTGTATAAATTATAAATAATGCATTTATGAATATCTTACATTAAAAATGTTTCAATATTATGTTTTTATGTATTTTATTATTCATAAACTATGTAGATTAACATAATATAATGTATTAATGATTTCTTCATTAGAATTAATTAAAAAATAATGTGGCTAAATTTTTAATTTTTATTGTACCAACTTTCTAAGCAAAAAATTATGACAATCCAATATTATTATTTATTTATTTTAAAAAGTTTATAAATTATGAATTTTTTTGTTGAACAAATTAAAAACTGTTTTTTGTGACTTGTTTTAAATTAAAATTCAAGTATAGTATCTATTATGAGTATAAATTAAAAAGCTTGATCATATATTATTTTGATAATTTTGTTTGCAACTATTGCTTTCTTAGCTCACTAATAAATTATTTGTTCAACTATGCAGGAACATTCTACTTTGGCTGAAGATGAATTTTATGACGCTGTTGAATCATCCAATGATAATTCTGCTGAGGATGCTAAACAAAGAAAAGATCAGTTACTGCAGTGTACTAAAAATAATGTTCAAACAGCTCAAACCAATTGGGGTGAGCTGATAAGAGCTGCTGCCACAAATGCTTCTTTGAAACATGCATATTGGCCAGAAGTAAGGTCACTGTTTGATATTATACATTTCTAAAATTGTATTTTATTTATTTTTGTATTAAATTTTAAATTAAAATTCAACCATGAAATTGAGTTTACCTATAATTGTGTGTGTTAAGATCGAACGAGTAGTTGCTGAACAAATTAGATCAGCTCGTATGGGCCTTGGCAAAGGAGCTTGGCAATTATTTGTCGAAGATGGGGAAATGAAGATGTACCGAAGAGAAGTCGAAGAAGATGGATTAGTTGTTGATCCTCTGAAAGCAACTCATCAAGTGAAAGGAATCACAGGTCGAGAATTGTGTCATTACTTTTTTTATCCTGAGTACAGATATGATTGGGAAGGTATAATAGTATTGTAATTTACAAATTTCATAACTGAAAGCTAAAAAATATTATCTCCAGGTACATTAGAAACAATGAATGTCATTGATAAAATTGCTGAAGACACAATATTATTCCATCAGATACACAAACGCATTTGGCCTGCAGCACAACGTGATGCTACGTTTTGGTCACATCTTACACATGTTCCTGATGAAGAGAATAAGTCTGAAGACAGTCCTCACATGTGGGCAACTGTCAACAGTTCGGTAGAATTACCATCACATCCTGTATGTTATTAAGATATTAAAAAAGTTCCTTATGTTATATTAGTATTTCATTTATTTTGTTCTTGATCAGTATTAACTTGTTACATTACTAAATTTATTATCATATTTTAGAAAGTAAATACATTTTATGAGAACATTCAGTAGATTATTGAAATTGTTAATATTCATATTTTATTTATTTTCAGCCTAATGGAGGTAAACAAGTTCGTATTTATCTGACTATTATTCTGATGGGTCAAACAATCATATCTCCCGCAGCAAAGGGTCGTGAGATAAAACGAGATGATATTACATGTAAAATTACCTATTGTGCTGTTGGTAAGAACATAATAATTTTATATTTACAATACTATAGATTTCAGTAGAGTTATATTTAACATTATTGTAGCTAAGATTTAAAAATACCAATTTTACTAATAAGACTTTCGGCTATATAAAATATTTTGAGGTTTTAGAATTTTTAAATTTATAGTATAAAATCAAGAATATCTAAATATATGTATTCAATTATAAACAAATTATTTATTTCGTAGATTTTTTCATTGGTATTAGTTTTAGAAAAACCTTCAAAATTAAGAAATATTATACTACTCTAGCCTAATATACAACCGTACTATGTTAAGATTAGCCTCTAAAAGGCTCCTGGTCTCAAGATGTAGACAATTTATGTGCAGGCACATAGTTTTATTACATGGTGGCGTAGAATGGTTTATGTATATTTCTTCATTTTATGTTACATATTATATAGTATTCTTATATATATATATAATACAATACAATATAATTAGTATGAGACTAGGATGAGCTCTGTTTGGTCGTTTAAAAAATCGGAGTAATAAATGTTTTTACATCTAACCTTAAATAATTTAAGTGTCTAATATAAATTTGTACAATATAATAGACTTTGCAACTTGATTATGCCGAAAAGTTAAATTGTTGGTTTTTTATCCATAATACAGCATAGTATACTATTGAACTCAATTAATATAAAGTTGTGTTAATTGTTTTTTTTTACAGTGAATCCTGGCGGTTGGGCACCATCTTCCGTTCTCAGGGCAGTGTATAAACGAGAATATCCAAAATTTTTAAAACGTTTCACTGCTTATGTATTAGAAAAAACAAAAAACTTGCCGATAAAACTTTGAACGATCATATCATTGAACTATTGTGTTCTGCAAATTGGTTAAATTCTTTATTTATTTGTTTATTGTTTTATTACTAGTAATTTTTTCCATTCTTGCCTTCACTGTGTTTTGTGTTAAATTTGAATTCATATTATTTATATGCTGTACATTATAATATGTTAAAAATGAACCTGGGGTTCATAATAAACTATTATTTTTATTAATAAATTGTTGTAAGTGTATATTGTGGCTTCCAATTTATACCAAAAACCATACAAATTGTTTAGTTTATTTGATTTTTTAAGTTTTGAAAATACAATTTTAATTGTAATCTGTTTTTAAATATGTATTTACTACTTACTCAGTGTAATATTAATTTACATTTTTTTTAAACATTTATCATTTATTATTATTTTTTAAAAATATATTTATAATATATTATAAACATAACATCTTTGAAAACTGCTATTAACTTCATGGTGTTTGTTACCATAGAAATGCTTGAATATGGCAATAATGTCAATGGATTAGTTATAGGACTGAATATTGTTTTTTAGCTTATTTAGTTAAATTTTTTGTTGTTCATTTTTATATTTATACTGCCTAAAAATGTGAATAATATGCATAATTACATTTTTGACTTGTGTGCCTACATGATAACTGAAGATTTCTTAGTATGTAAAATGTATTTCCATCTTTGATATATGTATATTTAACAAAATGTAATTTGGATCACTTTTTATGAAAAATAACATTATTATCGTCAGTCTGATAAACTTACCGATAAGTCCTACCTACGCGTTTTAAAGAATAAATTCACACAAGCGTCATCCAAAATGTACGTGTATTTGTTTACCTCTGTATCGTTCCTTCGCCCATAATATTATTAACAATATAGTAGCTATTATAGATTATTATCGTCGTTTTGTGTGGCTGGGGTTGTTGATGGCAATTATTTTAGTGTCGTTGCCCTAACAACCCGCACAGCCGATAATAACTGTACGTCTATGCATAGGTACCCACAGTAAAGCTGTAAAAGTTGTTGCCGTCTCTGCTGCTCGACAGCGCGTCCTCCGCGACATGGCGAATAACAATAAGCTGGATTTGGTCACTTCGGATTTGTTCAACGACCAAGTCACTTTGGGTCTGTTGACCGTTCTCGGTGAGTTTCGAAAGCCTGCAAAGCATTAAAATACGATTTACGATCGTTATAACTTATATTTTACGTGTATTTGGGGTCCCACTCTAATATATAGGTACGACACCCACCGATTTTTACGCGTAGGCGTACAGCCCACTGTTGACATTCATACAATATAAATACCTATGTGTATCGTGTATAGACTTGAAACTTGTAAGTGCTGGTAGGTAAGTACCTACCTATGTGAACTTCAGTGGTACCTATATAAGTATTAGTGTATTACGTATAGACGTATAGTATATATATATATATCCTACTCTGCAGGATAGAATCTACTTAACCTACTGTGGGACAGCTTGTAGCCCATACGGCGCACAATACTACATAGTTACCTCCTAAAATATACGAATTGCGTCCCTCACCGTCCAATCCTTATCGTAAATAAAAACTAGATAACCACGTACCAGTTAAGTACCACGTAGGTAAATAAATGAATTTATTGAACCTAACCTAACCTAACCCAGGTACCATATAGGCATAGAAATATTTTCATTTTATCATACGATCGTAAACGATGTAGTTTTATTTTAAATCGATATTTATTCAAATATTACACAACTAGTTATTTAAAATAATAAAATAGCTAATCAATAAAAAACATTTTGTGATCTAACTAAAATTATGACGTACAAGCATAATATACATACATATTACTATGAGGCTTATACAATGTTTTCATCGTTTAGGAACCGCTTGGCGCTTATGCATTTACACCTATTGGAATTTGGGGTGGAGGGGGGAACTAATACTAGGTACTAGTAAAAATGCTTATAATTCACTTTAAAATTTAAATATTGTAAAAAACCGGTCGAGAGAACACAGATAATGTTCTTACCAATTCACTAGAATATCAAAACTAACAGCACACCATTGAAATTGGTGAACGGAAATTTGCCATGTCGTGTGTAAGACGGAGACAAGTATAATAATTAATAATTTATATAACATAATAAATTCATGCGGATACGATGTCCCTTTAATGTACAACAATATTTTAAATTCTAAAATCATGAATTTATCGAGAGACTTTGTGATTTTTCTTTTGGAATGCAAATTATAATTGGAATGATTGGAATTAGCCGCAACTAGATTTAAAGGTATCTACTACTTGGGGTTACTTACTCGATAAATAATTTTAATATAATACATTTAAAATTTTAAAAAATGATCACAGCATTTTTACGATAAAAAATAGTCAAAATGTTTTTTGTGTATAGGAAACAGTAATTGTCAATCGAGTATTTATATTTTACATAGGTATTTACACGTCTTCGAATAGCAATACTATATTATTATATTAAAGCAAGGGTCGACTCTAGAAATTAATGAAAGATCTAGATTTTAGATTTGAATAAAACCACCTTTTAGATTTTTCACCCTAATAGTGAAACATATATCTAGGTAGTCATTACACCTAAAAAGTAAATGAAAATCATTTGTATTGACTTAACAATATGCCTTGTGCAAAAGGCCAATAGGTACCTATGTAGGTAGGTAATCTAATATTTTAATACGTAACAGTAACCTGTAACCAGGCAACCATCTATGAGCATCTAATATTATTTGTAAGCATATTACATTTTTGATTATCTACCTAAATATTTTGTATCCAGACACCTTGGTATATTGACCTACCTATATTTAAATATTAAAAAACCAAAAAAGTTGATAAAAACTAGCATTTAATAAAAAAAATATCTCGTTTAACTGTGAATGACGCCGTAGTTAGGTACTTTACAGTTTTTATTTTTATTTTATTATTCTAAGAATAATATCTAGAATACCTACCCTTGATATTTTGGTTTCGTAAATCTTACTTCTTTGTGAGTTGTGAGTACTTACATAGTTATATGCCTTATTGAAGCTCGTTGTCCAGTAATTATTAATTATTGTCTATTGATAAATTATTCGGCAGATTCATAAATACCTACTAGTGAATACGTAGTTATTTGGAGTTATACCCTATTTCCTTTCAAAAATAATACTTTTTGTCAACTTTTTTATATTTTTAAAAAAATTAATAAAAATAATTTGTCCATTTCTAGTGTGTTTGTTAGTTAATAGAAAAATGAAATAGCTTTAAAAAAAAATTACGATAAAAAGCTTAAAAGTTTTGAAGATACATCAGCAAATGTGTAGTAAGTTTGGTTTTGTTAATAAAAAAAGTTGCATAACATTATAAATACATGCAATTAATATATATGAAACGTATGTTATAAAACTAGCAGTGCGTAACTAGATTTGGAAAACAATGTTAAGTGCATAGAATATAACGTAGGTAATATGAAATATTACAAAATAAATATTTTAAACATTTTGATTTTTATTACTAGATGGAAATTATGACCCTCCCTCCTAACGCATGTCAGCAAACTCCAAACACCCTCGGTAGAGCTTAAACTATAAAATATGACGTTGCTAAAATCAAGATACAAATATAATATAACAGCACCGTATTTTGTTTGGTCATTTTTTTCACGAACCAAGTTGTGTTATACAACCAAATAATATGTTAACGTGGTTCCATCGATTGGACGGTCCCCGTTTGCAGAAGCAGGGTGCACGAGCAAGCTGAGCTTGTGTGACAAAACAAACCGATTTTTTAATTATTATATAGGTAATAGGTATCCCTTATTTTCGATTACAATGCCTTCGATTTGTTGCAGAAAACACTGCCGGAGTGAGAAACCTGACGGTCAAACAGAGTCTGCCGTGTGACAAGGCCAAAATAAGCTTGTGGGAGCAGCGGAACGGATGTTTGCTGCCGGACGACGTCAGGTCGTTTTACGCGTCGTGCGACGGGTTCAAGTTGACTTGGTCGTACAGAGTCGAAGGTAAATATCCCTAAAATACGGTTCTTTTGGCATTTTTTGAGTTTTTTTTCTGTTGACATTATTGGCCTAGAAAATCATAGACCGATTGCGCGTTAAATAAAATATTATGACCATAGACAATACGTGTACCTACAACATAATTATAAACATAATATTGTGTAATATTAAAGCACATTATTGTATATTATTTTTAATTATTAAATGTACAAATAATTTTTTTTTAATTGGTGGTATTTGTAATAGTTGTAATACATTCATTCAAGAACTATTTCATAATTTTGAATCCCAAACTTAACTTTGCTTAGAGCCACCAACAAATTATGTTTGTAAACATTTTTGATTTTTGATTAAGTGGTGTAATTTAATATAAGTTGTGATATCATTACTGTTTTTAATAGCATATAGCAGGGGTGGCCAAACGGTCGATCGAGATCGATTGGTCGACCGCGGACCATTTCAAAGTCGATCATGTAAGAATTTATTTTTAGGGACATGCGCACGAAAATTAATCGAGTTAGTAGAGAAAAAATTTTCGATAAGCTTTTCTGTTTAGTTTTTATCATTTATTCTGGTTTCGTATGTCAATAACGATCAATTGGTCAACGATATGCAATGCCACACTTCAACAATGCCCAGATTAACAAAATAATAGGTATGGTAATTAGACTTAAGTAATCAGATTTTAGAAATTATTATTAATTATTATGTCACGAGTATTTTTTAGTAACTAGTAATTAGTTTATAATACTTCTTGTATGTTCATATACACTTTATGCAAGTATGTTTCTTAATAATTATAGTTATTTAATAATAACAAAATTGTTCTATGGCCATCAGTCCTCAAAGCCCAAAGGTGAAGTATATTTTTAGTAGATTGTGACCAAAGAAGTTTGGCCACCCCTGGCATATGGCATATATTCATGTAAGATATTAACATTACTATATTAGGTATATCAATGTCATATTGTCATCTACAGGCGAATGTAATTCCAAATTCACAAAGTTAGGATACGCCTAACCGTATTTTTTATTGTGTTTGTGTCTACGTTGGTATATATTACTACTATTTTTATTAATTTTAAAATATGCTGTAAAATCAATGCTATTGTATATAAAACTGTAACCCCGCAATTCAAGTTTAGCCGGTCACAAAGGTTTTCTCAGTAGGGTGTAGGTTATATGAATTATGAACCACCTATATGAGAAACGACGTAAGTACATAAAAGGTAATTCTGATAAAAGAAGAAAAAACCGTTTTTACGCTATCAGCTAGTGATACTCTTTCATACTGACTATTTACAGTGGTAAAATTGAATATTTTTTTTGCAAATGTCCACACATGGTCCGTCTATCATTTGATAACACGTATTTCACTCATTATCACAATTTGCAGTGATATTTTGTGACTTACGTCCAGGAACGGCCTAGGAGAAAAATTCAGGCCGGGAAAATTTATTACCCAGGCCACATAGCAATGTTTACCTTATAGCCTATAAGCATTACTATAGTGGTGGGGGGTAGGGTGTAGGGGATGGCTGAGCTTATGTTCTACCCCCTCCCCACAAACACTACCAATTTATTTTATAATTATTTATTAATCTAATTATATTATGTAATAGTACTTAAGTACTACTATGTTCTATATACTGTACTAGGTTAGATTATTATATTTTGTTTAGACTCCTAAAGGTACGGTTTCCCTGCAGCGTCTAGACGCAGCGTCAAGCGTCACTACCGGTCTGGACGTAGGTTGCGTCTAGACGCCGCGTCCGACGCAGCCATGCTGTTCTCGCGTCTGACGTTGCAGGGAAACCGTACCTTAAATAAAAAATAATCTACACACCACTTACTTCGGCACTTGGCTATTGGTACACTATTTATTTAGTTAACTGTTTAATTTGGATTAATTAAATTAAGATTAATTTGGATGACTAGATTACAAAATACCAACTAGAGTACTTCCTAAATAATAAATATAATAGTTAAATAAATAACCAATTGGTACCTTGTACCTATACCTGAACCTGAAGCATCCATTGAAAAAAATGAATTTAATTTTGCACATTTCTTACTGACTTCCAATAACTGCTTTTTCTTTTTTTCTTTTTATAGAGCAGCTCCTCCTTTTTTTTTAAACTGGTTTCATTTTAAATAAAAAGATTATACAAAAAGGATTGTATAATTTATTAAACTTTTAAAATGAGTTAACTACAGCGGACGGTGGAGACTTCATTCACGATTAAGAGCACAAAAGTATCATACACTATACATTATTTATACACTCCAGGTCCGAATAACGATTAACGATCCATTTACCATTATACAAAAATAGTAATGTTATGAATTATCTAGTGTGTGAAAAACGTTTCATAGAATAATATTATTGTAATAACCAATCATTTTTGCTAACGGTTATCAATATAGTTGGATCGGTCTAAAAATAGAGTAGGCGGAATTGGCTGTGAATAAAATTACTACTTAAATAGCAATCCCGGACCTGTATTGGCTGTATTCGTGTGCGTGAGCCGTGAAGTAGTAAGTACTTACTACTTAGTCTCTCTGACGAAAAATACATAATAATAATGCTTTTATACATCTCAAAATACCCATATTACATGAGCAATTCTAGATATTAGTATATTACGTCTTATTAATAATAACTAAACTAATAACTTCACATTTTATGGGTATTTTGATAGGGAATGTCCAAAAATGTCGGTGTTATGCTTGATGTGATTCGGTTTAGTGGAGTAGGATGTCCTTTTCTAGTGCAGACTTAGTTGGCATTTATTTGTTATAAGCATTCGTATGTCCTCGAATGAAGTTATTTGTGTGAACGATGATAGTAGAGGGGTGATTGTGGTTTTGGCTGCGAGATCAGCGAGCTCGTTTACAATGATGTTTGAGTGTCCGGAAATCTAGAAGAGTTTAATATTGTGTAGACGTGTAGTTGTTGTTATTTTGTTGGTTTTTGATTGATATTGGTTTTGTTTTTCAGGTGAGACTGGTGGGTATTTAATGGTGATATTAAAGAGGATTGAGGTGATGGTTCATTCTCCCTTAAGAAGTCGTGACTATACATTTCATTGTTGGAATTTTTTTTGAAATATTTTCTGAGATGCTGAGCAATTGAAGAAATCCGTTTTAATTAATAAGCTATCTAACAAATATCACGGTATTACATAATAAATTCATAATTCTTTTCATGGGAATAAGAATTGATTACTTATGCTTACATGAAACATTATAAAATAATTATGAATTGTATAATCAGACGTAGTATAGTACCTATGTACATTGTACCTATTCCATTTGGTACCAATGATAATAAAACAAGGTTCTGGTTACTTCTCGTCTCTTTATCTTAGTAATACCAATACATTTATGTTCCTTGCAGGCATCACGTCTGACGCGACGGCTGCTGCGGTTGGCGGTGCGTCCAACTTGCCCATCGGAAACATCACCGTGAACCCGCTGTCCGACCTGGTCAGGCTGTGCGACGTCAAATCGGACACTGTCAATGTAAACGTGATGCGTGACCTGCAGTTACTGGACCGGCTGTCCGACAGGAACACGCCGGACTTCACGGAGAACTCGAAGATATTCGAGCTGGACTCGAGTTCGGACGTGGGCCACGTATGCCTGGTGTACCTTGACGGCCGTGCGGCGGCATCGGCATCTGCGGCAGCGAACCGGCCGGACGTCCATCCGCGCGAAGAGCCCAGCGTCGCGTCAGTCTGGCTACTGGACACCACGTACCGCTGGCACTTGCTCGCGCCGAACTTCAGCAACTATTTCAGAAAGGCGCTGGTGCACATGGGCCTGCCCCACTGGCAACTCAAATTCACCGATATGGGTCTCACGTCTATCGGAGAGGTAATAAGTTCTTAGGTTAATAACCTAGATTATTACCTATTATTTATTATAAAAAACAATAAACTATTGACGTAATTTCAATCTTTTTTTGTTTGCACAGCCTACATAATATTTCCAATTTTTTTAATTTGCATTTGCGGTGCTTGGCACAGCGGTATTAATCGGACGAATATAATATGCATATTGTTATAAATTATTTATAACCTGAATTGTATCATTGTAATTTCCAACCATGGACTAAGATATAACTACATTAAGATATCATACATATTTTATATCTTAGTAATTGATTTCGACTATCTACTTATAAAATTGTACAGTTATTGAACGCATAAAACAGAATATAACAGCTTTTGTGTGTTTTTCAGTTTTTCATGAATTTGGTGGCTCCTCAATTGAATGTGACCGATCGAGTTCCTCTGATTGGCCAATTAGACGACGATGAACAGTGTACCACAGATAGCGCACCGCTAAACCACTTTGATCCTAGTATTTTAAAAACCACGTTCAAAATGTCCAAAAGTAAAAAAAATGCAATCAAATAAGAGTTCCTGTTAGAACTGACTTATTTATTTATTTATTTTATTTAATAGCGACAATTAGTTTATACCAAAATAGTTTGAAAAATTTAAAATAAAAAATTAATTTATTTTTTGGAATTAATCATAATATTATTATAGTTCCTACTAGTTGCAGATATAAAAAATGCGGTCTGGCTGTCAGGCGCTAAGTGGCGCTTGATGAGGAAATGCTTATTCACTTCAGTATAAATTACCGTATGAACATTTCATATACACCATAACATTTGAAAAATGTTTTGACTCATTTTAAGCCATATATAAACCTATAAGCAAAGTTATCACTCGGTCAAAAACCTTAAAAATGTAATACAATATCCCTCATATAAGTTGTTGTTAGTGGAAATTAAAAAAAAGAAGTTGAGATTTAATTTACATTAATTTGAGCATCTATAAGGTTTGAATTTTAACACTATTCGTCAAAAATATTTAAACGATCCTTTAAATTAAAGATTTTTTTTAAAAAAACAATTCTAACATTTTATTTTTGATTATGCCATGATTATTTTCTTTAATAAACTATTTTTTCAATTTTCATGCCTATTTTCTAATTTTCTGTACAAAATAATTTTGATGATTCACATCTGCCAAGTATCTAGAGATGGCTCACTTTTTAACTTTGATGTCACTAATAACTTATTTTGTATAATTTAATTTCTATATAGCATAACTAAAAATGCGTAGTTGACCATAAGTGTGAAATATATAATATTTAACACCTCCACCGGCTAATATGACGTCTCGGGAGCATTTGAATCGTACTTTAATAAAATATTTGTGTTTCTCATTTATTTTATATTCCCACTGCTTAACTTTATTCTTTGAATCCAATCTGAAATTGTTTAATTTATGGTCATTGAAGATTAAAAGTTTAAACGGTAAATGTAGTTGTATCGATTCTTGAGAGTTGAATAGAAAACGATTACTTCGTGGTATTTTAGTCACTCAAATGTAGGTAAAGGGTTAATCATGAAAAGTGCATATCCGATACAAATGTAAATACGATAAAAATAAGTAAAATATTATTATAATAATACAAGTAAAAATGATCTACATTGAAGTAAGTGATATTTCTGTCAAAATATTTATTACTGATTTGCACAGTATTTGATATTCTCATTGGAAATAATTTTTTTTATAAGTATATGTATATTATGATTAACATTTGGATTATTTTTTCTGATAACTAAGATCATACAATTACTTTTTTTACTTACGGGGTATTTCTTCTTAGACATCAAATCATAATTATAAACACAAAATAATGTTTTTCCCATGTCACTATTGGACTCCTACCAATAAGCACATAATATTTGTCTTCGACAAAGATACAATTTTAATAACAACTATCAAGTATAAACAAAGAATATTGACTTGAATGGTTTTAATTAGTATACAATCATATACTATATTATGGCTACTTCAATACTAAAATAATTAAAAGCCGTGACAAATTTTAAAATAAAATATCAATTATATAATAAACGAATTATTTTTCATACAAAAATTGTATATTTTTAACGATTTCATTATGAACTAAGAGTTAAAAATATTAAAATTATTAAATACAAATTTTATAAACTCTTTAAAGTAATAACAGCATTTCTATAAATAATAATAAAAAAACATTCGTTAAAACTTCTAATCTTAAATACCTACGTTCAATTACTCTTCAAATTATTTATTATTTCTTGTACCATTTCTTTTTTGCTCATTCCATTTCTCTCAGCCTTTTTCTTAACATCCTCAACCATATTGTTGATTAATTGTTTACTATTAAGTTTTAAAAATTTGGGATGTTTAATTTTGGATTGCCATTTGTATTTTTTTGTCTGCTCTCCAACAAATTGTTTCAGTTGTGAAGTGTCTTTCACTTCTTTGTACTCAATCTGTTTGTCTGGATGCACAACAATTACACCCAACGACTGTCTCTTGTTTTTGACTTTTTTTGGTACAGGTATATCGTCTAGGTCAGGTACAGTTTTTAAAAATTCTTCATCTTTCTGAGCAACTGCGTCTGGATCCTCATCATCATCATCTTCGTCTTTTTCAGTAGCGCCATCAGATGTCGACGTTGGTGCAAACCCTTTGTCATTATTTCGGATTTTTTTTCCTGATTTAATTATTCCCACGGCGTCTCTCAGTGCCTTTGCTCTAGGATGTTTATCACTCATAATCACTCTACCAGATTTCAGCAGTTTTAAGGTGTCCGCTCCTATGCCTACCGCAGACATGGCAGACAGAATAAAACAGTCGATATTGCTTATTGCGATGTCCATGTGCTTTGACAGATCAATAAGTTTTCTTTGAGCTTTGGCCTTTTTCTCCTTCAATGTTTTTGTATTGAAAGGTTTGTCAAATATATTATTGATTAATTCATCCACGTCAAATTGTGGGGAAATAAGTTTCAATACATCTTTAGCCGAATCTGGAACGGTGGACTCATTTTCTAAAATGTTGGATAACATTTTGTGTGTGGACTGAGGACCATTCTTGTACAATTCCTTAAGGTTTTCTGCAGTTGTTAGAAAATCTTTAGCTAACGGAATCACTTTGGTAACCAAGTCACTGACAGTTTGTTTCAAACTGGTTTTCAAAGAGAAACTGACTGTTCTTAAACTCTGATCAACATCATTGAATGTCTTGGAGATTTTTACGTTACCTATTGC